AGGTCTCACTAAGTTGCTAAATTGTTGGTGGGGGAGCTATTTTGCAATCCTCTTGCCTCGCCTCCTAGAGTGCTTAGAGTACAGGCGTCTCCACCACCCCTGACAGAAAACTGCACATTTTTTGGGTACATCCAGTGTCTCTTTTAACCGATTGCTGAATTTTGTTCAGTTTTCCCTTGAGTCTGATGACAGTTACATTGCTGTAGCCTGTGTCATCCTGTGTACAAGTTTCTTCTGTAAACAGAATGTGCTAGATTTTACAGGTTGTTTTTTTTCTACAGCTTTAAATTCGAACATTTTATCTTAAGTGAGTTAATTACGGTTCTGGAATTGGACCTACATAAATTATATTTTCTAGTACTTTTCAGAAATCTTCCTTGCTCAAAAAAAAAAAAAAAAGAGTCCTTAAATTTTGGGGGCTGGGGATTTAGCTCAGCGGCATAAGTGCCTGCCTTGCAAGCAGGGAGTTGTGAGTTTGATCCCTGGTACCGATAAAAAGGAAAAAGACCAAAAAAAAGAAATCTTCCTTGGCCTATTTTTCTCTACCTCACCTTTGTTAGACTATGGGGAACCCAGCCAAGAATCCCACTGGTCTGTCTCTAGAATGCCTGGAGAAAAATAAAAAAGAGACAAATATTCTTTCAGTGGCTGAAAGTCAGTGTCTTTATCCAACCTCTCCGCTCCCAAAGCAGCCCCCATTTATTAGCTGCATACAGTGGTGGGTGGGGCTGGCAAAAACTCCAGTGGGCCTAGATAATCTTAGGCTTAGAAGTCTCTTGACAGGAGTATAATCCTGAGATGACTCAAGAAGGCGTAAAAAATGATCCCATGTTCAAAAGAGTCGATGGGAACCCCAGATGGTGGTGCCCGTAATCCCAATCCTTCCTGTCATCCCACAGGGAAATATGCAAAACCAGTTACAGTGAATTTGTGGTCCCAAGCAATCAACCGCATTTTCTTCACTGATTTGTAAATTAATTACTTTACTTCTGTTCTTATGTATTTAATCATCCTTTTCCTAATCTTTTTATTCTGAAATGTGTCAGACTTAGAGTCTCCTTAATTATATTCGATTAATGTTTTTCTTAGTTTCTATGTACTTTGGTTGAGAATCATTTGAAAGTACGTACAGCTGTTTGTTTTTATTTCTTGGTTAGGGATTTAGCATGCTGTTTGTATCTGAAGATTCATTTTTAAAAATTATTTTGGAAAGTTTCAGAAAAATTTAGATGCACAGGGAGTTTCTGTGTCCCTTCAACCAGTTTCCCTCATATTAGCATCCTGCACTTAATTCTCATTTTTAAACGTGGAAGATTCTCAGCTCTTTGACCCTCTTGTTTTCTCTCTCCTGGCTGCTGGAACCCTTAGATGTGAGCTGACTGTGTGGACACCCCGGTCTTCATATTTCTAACTTGTGGGATGTTGGCTATGCTTTTTATGTCTGATGCTCAGCCCTCTTGGTGGGTTATTTCCCGGTGTGCTTTGTAACTAGGGGCTCATCTCCAGAAGGGATTCTGTTTCTTGGGGTATCTGTCCTAAGTTGGGAACGGGTACATCAGGGCAACTCCTTTGCTTCTGACAGGGCTGCATTAGTCAGCTTTACATCACTGTACTGAAATGCTTGAGTAATCAACTTTAAAAAGGGAGAGGCTGCCAGGCTGGCACACATCTCTGATCCTAGCTACTTGGGAGGCCATGTAGGAGGATCACAAGTTCAAGGTCAGCCTGAGCAATTTAGTGAGACCTTGTCTCATATTAGCTTCCAATTTTGGAAGTTTCTGCCCTGGTTGGTTGACTCGTTGCTTTTGGACCTGTGATGAGGCCGCACATCGTGGTAGAGCAAAGCTGTTCCCTCATGGAGGCCGGGAAGCAGGAGAGACAGGAAGGCGCTGGAGCCTTGTACCCCTCAAGTGTTCACCCAGTGACCTGGTGTCTTCCCAACAGGCCCTCCTTTCAAAGCTTCTGTCACATCCCAGGCTGGAGTCCCTTAACACATGGACCTTGGGTGGTACAACCAGACCATTGCCAGGGCCATGACTTCACAGTGATTCTGGCTCGCTTTCCATGTTCATCTCTCATTTGGCCTCTGCCACTCTGGCAGTGTCAGTTCACGTTCATACCAGGTAGTTTAGTCATTTAGCAGGCACAGCCTGGCACCTTTACCCTGTGTTCCTGTGCTGCCCCCTGCACCCTCCAGCTCGGGTCTTGCTACTGGGGCTCAGGGCCACAGCCAGACATCAGACACCTCTACACGTGGCACAGAAGCCGACAGTCACTGTGGTTTCACTGTGGTGTCTGTTCCCCTCACTGTTGATGGCTTAGTTCTTTTCTTTTCTCACACATGGGGACATTTCTCTTTCTTTTCTTTTTTCTTTTTTTTTTTTTTTTGGTACTGGGGATCAAACTCATGACCTCAAGCTTGCCAGGCAGGCGCTTACGTCACTGAGCTAAATCCCCGGCCCCATTTCTCTCTCTTGCAAACTCGATGTATGTCTAAGGATTCCTTTCTGTTTCTTTTACCTAGTGTTGTCCACCGGTCAGGTCTAGCTAGATCCCTCGTGTGGTGTGAGGAGCCCTGCACTGTCCAGCCCGTCTGCCTCCTGTGTGGACTCCACTCTCCAGTGTCCTGCTACAGTCAGTTGAGCTGATTGCAAATCATGTACTGTAATGTTTAGCAGATCAGGAGGTTCCAGCTCTTTGGATTGGAGACAGATTTTCACCCTTGCTGGGACTGGTTTCTCACCTGTGAAAGGGCAGTGAGTGGTGGCCCCACTGTGAACCTGACCGTTGCTCCCATCACCACGTGACGAACACGTCACTCACCTGTTTTTCCGTGTTTCTGTGCTTTTGCTGTGTTTGTTCTGTCTCTGGACTTGCCCGTGTCCTGGCTTCTGTCCTCCTTCCCTCACCCCCTCTTTTCTCTACTGTAAGGTCCCTTTCTATAGCAGTGAGGGCCCTGCACATTTTCCTTGGCAGACACCAGGCCCTTCACCAGCAGGGCCTCGTGCATCTTGGAGCTTGAATCCCTGACTGTCCTCCCTGCACTTGGTGGCTGCTGGTTGGCTGGACCGCACTGAATTTTCCTGGCTGAACAGAGGCAGGGGCTGGGAATTGCATGGGATCCAGATGCAAGGAGAGACCACAGGAAACTTGAACAAAACTGGACAGAAGTGTGAATGAGTAATGGCTGGGATACGAGGTAACAATTCTCAGTCCAACTGAGGGTGCCAGAGACTTAAAGCAAGCCAGCTACCAAAAAAGCTACTAAATACTGCAGAGTGAAACGGTTTCTGGTCCTAAGAATGCACATTCCACATTCCAGCCTCAGTCTCAGCTTCCCTGAATGCCACGCAGAAGGATATGACCTAATTGTAGCCCCTGGTGGGCCCTGGGGTTGGTGCTGAAGATCAAAGTGGAACAAATGGAGGTCTGACGTTGTCTTGGATGGCCGCGTGGACGGATGCCAGCTGAGTTGGGTGGTCTGTCATTCCAGGGAACTGCACAAGATTACTCCGTCCTGAGCAACCTAGGGTCCTTCTAACTCCCTGCGAATTCCTTGCTATACAGTTGCATTATTCGGGAATTACATGTGGCAGCTAGACCAGAAGTAACAGTGACTTCAACGAGTAAAAGCTTGGGATACGGAAGAGGTCGGGGAGCTGGTGCAGGGCTGGTCTCTGCTGGGCCCAGCTCACAGCAGCTTTCCAGGAGGGAGGCAGGAAGAAGGGAGGAAAGGCACAGTGAACGCGTGCTCCCTCTTAAAGATCTTTCCTGAGGTCCCGCCCAGCAGCTCAGCCTCCCTTGCTGGCCTTCCTCAATTTCAGGGGAGGCTGAGGAGTCATTTAAGGGGGATCGTTGCTGCCTGGAAGAGAACGGGGAGTCTGTCACTGAGCAGGACTATTGGGAGTACTGGGTAAGCGGGGAGCATGCGGCTTCCCTCCTTCAGCCTGAATGCGCGCCTGCTCCCTGCTGGTATGAGGAGTAGTCCAGTGCCCTGTGCCAGAGGGAAGCCAGGAATAAAGAGTGGAGTGCAGTGGCAGAGAAGGGGGTGAGAGCAGAGCACAGGTCAAGGACGTCAGAGAAGCCACCAGGTCCCCCAGACAGTCCTTTCTGCTCTTTCATCCCTCTGTGCTGCTGTCACCCTTCGGTCACTCTGTTGGTGTCATCAAGCTTCAGTTTGTTTTGGTTTTTTTGGTGCTAGGAATCGAACTCAGGACCTCACCCTTGCCAGGCAGACGTTGCACCCTGAGCTACATCCGCAGCCAAAGCATTGATTCTTCCCTCCCTTCCGACCTCAGCTCTGGCGCCCAGCACCTGCGTGTTGGTGGCTTAGTGGGAGCCCCTGGGATGGTAGTCAGAGCCCAGGCCCACAGCCTCTTCTTCCTGGCCACGTGGTGGCCCTGCCAGGAGACTTGGCCCCAAAGTGGGGTCCTCCTTAGGAGGGGCCTTCCTGACCCAGCACCTGGCACCGTAAAAGGAACCCTGTGGTGCAGTGAATCCTTCTCTGGGTCCCATGAAATGAATTAAATGTTTATCATACCTTATCCAAGACTAATCAGGAGTCTTGGTGTCCTGCAGTGCTAATCACATGTTAAAAATACCACTTCTACCTACTATAACATTTATTGAGCATCAAACATTGATACTGCCTCTTGGAACTCAGGGAATTTGAGGAATTTGGATGGACCAATTCATGTATTCTCTCCCTCTCCTTTCTTCCCTCCCCTGGTGGCTGTCCGAAGTGTGGAAGGCCTGGATTCCCTCTCCCTTCTTCCATCGCCTCTCCTCTCCTTCCCTCTCCCTTTCTGTCTTTTGAGTACTAGGGGTTGAGCCCAGGGCTTTGTACTGAGCTACAGCCCAGCCCTTTTTAAAAATTTTGTTTGAGACAGTGTCTCACTAAGTTACCCAGGCTGGCCTTGAACTTGAGATCTTCCTGCCTCAGCTTCCCAAGTAGCTAGGATGATGGGCACCGTGCCTGGTGAACTTCTCTCTCGTTTCAGTTGCAGGAGCATCTGCTGCTATTCCCTTTGGGAAGCCAGAGCACTCATAGGAAGCCTACCACATAGATTCTTAGAAGACCACAAGGATTTAGGTTCCCAGCTTTGCCCCCTTAAGGCTAGAGACCGTTTCACAGAAGACTACTGGGTTCGAGAGTGGTCACAGGTGAGCACGGGCTGTGGCTTGGGCAAGCTGCCCTACTGGCCTCGGTCTCCTCAGCTGTCGTGGTCTGGTACTGGCAGCTCATCATCACAGGGTTGTCATGGGGAGTAAGAGCCGTGTGGGAAGCACTTGGTGTTAGGACATGGGGTGGTGGCTGTCCCCAGTGTGGGAGGCCTGGGATTTTGTGGGCAGGGGTGTTGCTGGTGGAGTGGGGCAGCTGGACCAGGTGAAGGGGTATCTGCAGGCAGTCTCAGTGACAGGTGGACAGGGCCTGCACCTGGACAGTGACAGGGCCAGGAGAGGGGACCCAGTGTGACAGGCCCTAGCCTGTGTGGCTGGGGGATGGTGTCCCACTGCCTGTGTGAGGAGCAGTGGGGTGTAAGGACTGCAGGACAGGAGCGAGGTGTGTGGTGGTGAGCTGCAGGCGCAGATTGGGCACGGACCACTTCCAGGCACTATGCTGGCGCCAGGGCTGCCCATGGCCTGGCGTGAGGAAACAGGCTGTGTGTGGACATGTGTATTTAGGCTGTGGACTGAGAGAGGCTCTGGACAGAGGCAGACACAGTGGAGGTATGTGAGCGTGCAGTTATTGGGGAGCTGGCCAGTGACAGGGCCCTTCAGTACTGGCTGGTGACAAAGAGCAGGCACCCAGAGGTGACAGCACCCAGGAGGAAGGGGCAGGACCACTGCCACGGTAAGACGGAGATGGATGGGCAGCCCAGGCCTCTTTCTTAGGTCAGGATGAGGAGAGGTGGTCGGGCCCCCTCATGGCAGAAGAGCACTGTTGGCCGGCAGTCGGGACCAGGCTGGCGGGTGTTGGGCAGAGAGGCTGGGGCAGGCCCGGATTCCCAGGGGCCTTGTCCCTCAGGAGCTGGGGTTTGTTCTGACACTAGCCGGAGCTTCTCAGGGGTTCTAATCAGGGATATAATGCATTTGGGCTTGTGACTTAGATCAGCGCGGCCACAGACGGGGGAGGCTTTGGAAGCAGGGTCTCTTAGAGAAGACAGTGACTGCGGTGGTGGGGCCGTCACGCTGAGGACCTGGGGGAGCGTGCTCATTCATTTGCTCATTCGTGTGGGCCTTGGCTTATTTGGCTCTTGGGAGAGTGGTATTGGCCATCAAGGAATAATAGTCTGTGTCCAGGTCAGCGCCCTGCCATGAGTCCATCCAAACACAAACCAGGAAGGTTGCAAAGGCATCCACGTCGCTTTTGACCTGGCAGCAGGAGTTTTAGGTTGACCTGGAAGGTCACCTCCTGGAAGTTGAGTGTGAGGCTTCAGACTGGGCTGCTCTGCAGATGTAAGAGACAGACATGGCTCTCAGAGGGTAGCTGCAGTCCTCTTCCCACCTCCTCTGGCTCGGGATGCTCCTGTCCCCAAGGAGCCCTGCCTGTGTGCTGCGGAGCTGTCATCGAGTGAAGACTGGTGGCACCCTGCAGGCCCCTGGCCCCCTGCGACCCCCTGAGGTGATTCTCCCAGCCTCAGGTTGGTGGGTTTATCAGGAGGCGGGAAACCAGGCCTCCCTGGAGGAAGGCAGCTTTGGGCCATACAGAGGGTGGGTAGTTCACTCCCCCTGTGACCCTGAAATCTGAGCTCCCAGCTGTGACCACCAAACAAGTGAGGTCGCATCTGTTGCTGCTCCTTGGCTGGCTCTGTGGAGCGCCCAGAAGAGCTCAGAGTTTACGGTGAATGTCTGCTTCTGGGCCTGTGCAGCATCGCTGGCTCCTGGGCCTGAGCCCAGGTGTCACGGCTGCCCCAGTTTACCCTCAGGAGGGACTCGGGGCAGCTGGGGAGGACTGGGATGGTCTGGCCTCAGACCCTCATGTCAGCTTATTTTGAAGTTAATATGTTTGTCAATATAAAGCCAGTACACAGTCAGTTGAGAAAGACCAAAGAGGACTGACCGAGGCTTAAAGGTAGAGTGACTGTGTCTTCACGCGCACCTGACGGACACAAGCATTTTGTCCTCTTCTTGCTCCTGCCACACACCCCGTGGCTCTGGAGGCACAGACTGTCTTGATGCCTCGGTGTTCTCACTGCAGTGCATTGCGGGACTGTCTCCACGACAGCACACACTGCGACCCCACTACATTCTTTTCTAAAAGCCTTTCTGGTTTGTCCACGAAGGTATGTACAGTTTAACCAGTAATTTTCAAGTCCACATGGTGCTGGTAATCTCAGCACTTGTGAGGCCGAGGCAGGAGAATCACTTAAGTTTGAGGCCAGCCTGAACCACCTAGTGAGTTCAAGGTCAGCTGAACTAGCCCATAGTCTCAAAAGAAAAAAAAAAAAAACAAAAAAAACCATAATTTTCAAGCAAGTGTTCCCATAACTGGACATTAAAATGCCATAGATCTAAGTGTATCCTAAAGAATGTCTATGCTGCTCCTGCTGTGAGCTTCCCAGCCCCGTGAGGGAGATGGACCAGGAGGGCGGGCGACCGTTACAGCTCAGGACACACTATGAGCGTGAGGAAGAGCTGGGTGGTGCTTGTTTCCTGGAGAGCCCTCCTTCAAGAGGCTCCCACTGGGGAACGAGATGGGCTGCAGGGGTAGGCTGGGGTGGACTGTGGAAGAGCATTACGACAGGGTGGAACTTGAGCCAGGGCTGTTTTGAGAAGGGGGCAGGCCTTTGTGGTGGAGGGCAACGTGCAGAGGTGGGGCTCGGCCTCCTGATCCTGACCCTGATGGGCTGTGTGCTCTGTGGCCCCGCAGCAGGTGCTTCCCTGCCTGCTCTGTGAGCAGTGCCGTGGGGGCTGGGGACCAGCAGCAGCTGCACGGCACCTGCCAGCCATGGCTGTCTCAGACTAGGCGACACCAGACCTGCGACAGGCAAAGCCGCTGATGTGGCTGAGGTCAGAGTGGTTGCCGTTCACAGGGGGGTGAGGGAGGGGCTCAAGGAGCCTTCTGGGTGCTGAAGTGGTGGTTTTGTGGTGGCGGATAAATGCGAGGCTTCATGAGGTTGTATTTAAAGTTAAAGCAGCTACACCCCCTAGCTGTGGCAATGTACACCCCCAAATAAAGCCAGCAAGCAAATAGTGTTGCCAGTCAGCCTAGTTTGTAGTTTTTTTTTTTTTTTTTCTTTCCTTGATTCAGATAGAAATCATGAATCAGCAGAGTACATACAGCTCTGCCAGCGGTCTGAGTGGCACCACATGGCACCAGGTCATGCTGGGTGCCAGCAGTTGATGCAGGCAGCTGCTGGACATTGCCTCTGCTGGCTATCACTGTCCAGTGTGCTGGACAGCATGGGTATCTACCGGGTGCTGGTCTCTGCCACTGGCCTCTGCTGGTTGCCAGGCTCCAAGCCCTTCGGGCTAACGGCTCTGAGTGTTTATTGCTTTATTTGGGGCAGTAGTTCTGTCCACTCGACTCAGGGTGAAAATCCTGAGCAGATTTACAGGACCTCGGGAGCCCTTGTTGCCCGAGACCTGAATCATGGCAGGTGACAGGATACTACAGCGAGTCTTCCCAGCAGTGGGGTCCCCACGCAGGACGAGCCCCCAGACTCACCTGTAGGGCTGGGAGCACTGCCTGGACAGGACAGCAGCTGCAGGCCTGGGGCCGGGAGGGTGGGACTGAGAGCCGCTGTGAGTATTGGGTGCCTCAGGAAGGGGCCGGGGCCCTCCCTCCCTACTTAGCCTCACTCGGTGCCCCCAGGGGACCGGGGGGGGGGGTTGCCATGCTGCCTGTCTGGCTGCACCCCGTGTCAGAGTGGAGGGTGACGGTGTAACAGCCAGGGAGGACACTGCAGTGAGGTGTCCCAGGCCGCTGGCATGGGGAAATGAGTTCGGCACTTCTTGTCTGTCTCAGTAGCACATCCCCAGAATAAGGAAGTGAAACACAGTAGCAAGAAAGGGCAGCCAGGGGCTTAGCTCAGTGCAGAGCACTTGCCTGGCAAGCGCAAGGTCCTGAGTGTGATCCCAGGTACCAAAACAAACACACAACAGCTTCAACTGGGGAGACCTAGGACCCAATAGGGGCACATTATGGGAGGCTCATCTGAGGAAGTGATGTGTGTTTTCAGCTGACACTTGAAGGCTGAGGAGGTAGAGGTCAGGTCAAGAAGAGGGCCAGGCGTCCCGGGAGACTGGGGGTGAAGGGCGAGACGTTGGATGCTCGGCCTTCCCCACTGTCACTCAGAAGCCCTCTCATAGTCTTGGCCACTCTCCCCTCCTACGAGCTTTGGAACCGAAGCATCCTCTGCCTCTGCCCCGCTCCTGGCCTCGGCATGACATCCACTCCTTAGGGACTAGCAGTCAGGGTCAGCCGTGTCCTGGTCCCTTATCTGCCCTCAGAGAACTGGAGCTGAGCTGGTGCAAACAGAGTGCTGTTCCCATGGGTGCTGGGTATGCCAGGCCCAGCGCAGAACCACAGGCAGCTGCTACGCACCGGGCGCTGCTCAGTGGGAACCGCTTATGCAGTGCTCTACAGGCTCTCTGGATACTAGGTCCTCTGCAGGAGCCTGCGCCCGCCCCTAGGGCCTCAGCCAGTGCCTTTGCACACAGTACAGGTAGAGTCAGTTCTGTGAAGGGCATTTTGTCAGGGTGCAGAAGCAAGCAAAATAAGAATTATTTTCTGTGATAAAGTTTCAAAAGTCTGTTCTGTTGGTTTTCTTGGGCTTTGTTTTGTTTCGTGGGTTTTGAGGTAGGGTTTTGCTATGTAGTTCAGTCTGGTCTTAAACTCACTGTGTAGGGTGGGGGTTTAGCTCAGTGTCGTAAGCTCCTACCTGGAAAACACAAGATCCTGAGTTTAATCCCTGGTACCAAAAACAAAACAACACAAAAAAACTCACCGTGTAGCCCAGAAGGCACACTGATCCTCCTGCCTCAGCCTCCTGAGTGCTGGGATTACAGATGTACACCAATACTCCTGGATTTGATTTTTTTTTTTTTTTTTAAGCAGTAAAGGGGATTGAACCCAGGCAGCACCAAGCTGTATTTCTACCTCATTTTTTGAAATTTTATTTAGAGGCAAGATCCTCCAGAGCTGTCCAGCCTGGCTT